ACAAAAAAAAAAAAAAAAAAAAAAAAAAAAAAAAAAAATGGGGAAGTGACATTGCCTCAAAAAGTAGTTAAGCATAAAATTACTCTATGACCCAGCAATTTCACTCCTAGGTGTTTACCCAAGAGAAGTGAAAACAATCCTCAAATACTTGTACATGAATGTTCAGAGCAGCACTGATCACATTAGTCAAAAGGTGGAAGCAACCCAAATGTCTATCCATGGATAAATGAGAAAACAAAATGTGCTGAATCCTTATAATGGAGTGTGATTTAGCCATGAAGTGGAATGAAGCTCTGATCCACAGTACAACGTGGATATACCTTTAAAACAGGATGCTCAATGAAAAAAGCCAGACACAAATGCCACCTAGAATATGATTCCGTTTATATGAAATGTCTGGAATAGGCAAATCTGTAGAAAGAGCAGATACAGTTGCTGGGAGAGGGCAATGGGAGTGACTGCTTAGTGGGTACGAGGTTTTATTTTGGAGTGATGGAAATGTTTTGGAACTAGAGAGAGGCGGGTGCACAACATTGTGAATGCACTAAATGCCTAGAATTGTTAATTTTTGAGTTGGAGTTTCTCTCTGTCACCCAGGGTGGAGTGCAGTGGCATGATCTTGGCTCACTGCAACCTCCACCTCCTGGGCTCAACGATCTTCCTGCCTCAGCCTCCTGAGTAGCAGCTGGGACTACATACATGCACCATCATTCCTAGCTAATTTTTTTTTTTTTTTTTTGTAGAGGTGGGGTTTTGCCATGTTGCCCAGGCTGATCTTAAACTTGTGGGCTCAAGCAATCCTCCTACCTCAGTCTCCCAAAGTGCTTAGTGTGCTGGCATGAGCCACCAGATGGGACCTCTCTTTCTTAATACACCTCTTCCATCAGGGATCTCACTCCTTCCCCTCCTTTTTTTTTCTTTTTTGAAATGGAGTTTCACTCTTGTCACCCAGGCTGGAGTGTGCGGCACAATCTCGGTTCGCCGCAACCTCTGCCTCCCTGGTTCACGTGATTGTCTTGCCTCAGTCTCCTGAGTAGCTGGAACTATAGGCACATGCCACCGCGCCAGGCTAATTTTTTGTGTTTTTAGCAGAGATGAGGTTTTACCATGTTGGCCAGGCTGGTCTCAAACTCCTGACCTCAAGTGATCCACCTGTCTTGGCCTCCCAAACTGCTGGGATTACAGGCGTGAGCCACCGCACTTTCCCCTCCTTTTAATCCCATTCATCCTCCACTGACTCCCAAATTTCTGGCTTCTAAATCCAGGCCCCTGAACTCAGCTCCTGGTGACAATTCTAGCTTCACCCGCCCAGCTCTAGGCCATCCCCTGTTCCTCCCTAAGTAAATGTGCCACCAGCTGATCCCCAAGCTTGGAGCCATCCTTGATTCCTCTCTGTCTCCCACACCCCAGATTTAATTCATCAGCAAGTCATGTGCGTACTACCTTCCTAATTTTTCCCGAATTTTGCCACTGCTCGCCTTCCCCTGTTACCATCCGAGATAAGCGCCTACTATGTGTCACCTGGGCAACAGGTACAGTGTGGAATGAAGATGAGTCAGCTTGGACTGTGACCCCCAGGCACTTACAGGTGCTACTAGGAGACACAGGGCTTCTACACCACCAGATGCAGCTACATTTAGGCAGACGGGGATCAGTGATCTCTCAGGAAAGATCAACTTCGAAGTCAGGCACTTGAGTTGGAAGGTTCCTGTACTTCAGTGAGCCTCAGTCTCCTTGTCTGTATAGTGGTTCCCCCCACATGAGGATGTCTAGGAAAAGCTCAGCATTATTGGGACAGGATCTTTGAGCCCATGCGAGCCCCAAAACATGGGTAGAAAAAATAAGTAATAGCTCTCCAACACTTTTTAAGTTATTGTTGAAATGTTCGTGGATGCCGTTGGGTTCAACCAATACGTTATTGAATTGATACTGGCCTCCTGTTGTTACAGGTTTTCTTTGACAAATCCTGAAAATACAAAGAAGGAGGCCACCTGATCTCATGTGGAGAAGGGATCCTCCTCCTCTGTTGTTGTTTAAAAGAGGTGGTAGGGCCGGACGCAGTGGCTCACGCCTATTGTCCCAGCATTTTGGGAGGCTGAGATGGGCGGATCACCTAAGGTTGGGAGTTCGAGACCAGCCTGACCAACATGGTGAAACCTCATCTCTATTAAAAATACAAAACTAGCTAGGCATGGTGGCACATACCTGTAATCCCAGCTACTTAGGAGGCTGAGGTAAGACAATCACTTGAACCTGGGAGGCAGAGGTTGTAATGAGCTGAGATCGCACCATTGCACCCAGCCTGGGCAACAAGAGTGAAACTCTATCTCAAAAAAAAAAAAAAAGATGGTGGGATGATACCATGGTCAAGAGCCCCTCCCTCCCTCCCTCTTTTCCTCTCTCCCTTCCTCTCTCCCTCCCTCCCTCCTTCCCTCCCTCTACAGGGTTTTGCCATGTTGCCTAGGCCAGTCTTGAACTCCTGGCCTCAAACGATCTTCCCTCCTCAGCTTATCACAGAATTGGGATGTCAGGTGCTAGCCACTGATCCTGGCATGAGCAGAATTTTCACACTGGGTGTATTTTGGCTCCACTCCCCATTAGCTATGTTGCCCTGGGAAAGTCACTGAATCACTGAACCTCAGTTTTCCTATCAAAGGGGGCCAACATTCATTTCCCCCATTCAAGGGTGATTGTGAGGACTAAGACTTCCATATCTAAGAGGTATTCAGTAATATTTGAAGAATAACAGCTCATATTTATTGAGGATTTGCTCTGTGCCAGGCAATTTAAAAAGTACCATCTCATTTTAATCATCACTCAGCCCTGGAACATGGAAATGGAAATTAAGGCACAGAGAGGTTAAGAAACTTATCCATAGTCACACAGTCTCCTTATCTGTATAATGGTCCTCCTAAGTGAGGATTTTTTTTTTTTTTTGTTTTTTTTTTTTTTTTTTGAGACGGAGTTTCACTCATGTTACCCAGGCTGGAGTGCAATGGCGCGATCTCAGCTCACCGCAACCTCCGCCTCCTGGGTTCAGGCAATTCTCCTGCCTCAGCCTCCTGAGTAGATGGGATTACAGGCACGCACCACCATGCCCAGCTAATTTTTTGTATTTTTAGTAGAGACGGGGTTTCACCATGTTGACCAGGATGGTCTCGATCTCTCGACCTCGTGATCCACCCGCCTCGGCCTCCCAAAGTGCTGGGATTACAGGCTTGAGCCACCGCGCCCGGCCCCTAAGTGAGGATTTTTAAATAATAAATGACTGGGGCAGGATTTAAGTCCAGTTATGAGAATCCAGAGTCTGAAATACTACTGACCACAGCTTCCCAAATAAAAAACTATTGTTTAGGGTGGACCCACAGTCCAAAAAGGGGAAGGCAAAGGCCAGCCCCATAGGGGCATCTAAAGGAGCAGAGGACCCCACAGGCTTGTCCCCAGAGGGGCTGATCTGATTAAATGTTTCTCCATTCTCTGGAGGACAGAGTAATAATAACAATTGGAGGCCAAGATGGAAGGATTGCTTGAGGCCAAGACTTTGAGATCAACCAG